AGGACTGACTCCTCGCAGATCCCTCAGGACAGACAGAATCCCCTCAGACTCCTCAGGACAGACTCCCCCTCGGCCCTCTCCGTACATGTGACCCTGTCACCTGTCACCATGACTGCCACTGTCTTCAAAGTCACAGCCCTTCGCCTGTCTTCCAACTCTTTGACCAGGTTCCTTGCCTTCACTCTCCCCACTTATTTTCTCTTCTGTTTTCCTCCAGCTGCTTTCTAACAAACTTCTGTGGAGCTGGCTGCTTGAGTACACAAACTCCTTGTTAATTTCGGGGACCATGAGTTGACCAGTGACTGCTCAGTAGGTCACAGACACTTCATTTGCATAGTAAGGTTCAACTCATCACATTTGCATAATCAACTGGCCAATCCCTGCCAGGTACACACTATTCACAGCCCAGGACCAAAGAGAAGAAATCAAACCAAACTGTTTACAGCTTTACCCAGGAAATGTCACTCAACCTGGACAAAAATAGCAAACGCTCTGGAGTAGAAACTAGGGTAAATATTTAGGATAAAAACTTCTCAAGCTGTTTTTCCAAGACCCAAGGCAAATAGCCTTGTTACATGCTGCATACCAACTCCTAGCGACCTTACGCACTGCAGGATGAACTCTGCCCAGTCCTGCGCCCGTCTTGCTCCGATCGTGCCCATTGTTGGTACCACTCTTGTCAGCCTATCTTGGTGGGTCTTCCTCTTTTTCACTGACCCTGCACTTTACCAAACATGCTGTCCTTCTCCAGGGACAGGTCCCTCCTGATCACATGTCCGAGTATGAGAGAGCAAGTCTGGCCATCCTGGCTTCGAAGGAGCGCTCTGGCTCTGGCTCATTTCACCACAGACACCTTGACTTGAGTTCTATAGAGGTGACCAAGTCAGAAGGCCATACATCATCACGGTTCTTGATACGGTATCTGTGGAGATGCGTTCCACGAGATGCCTGATGTGGTGGATAGCACCAAATCCTACAGAGCAGGCTTTTTCCTACACATACATCCAGCGGGTACCCAGTGAGCTCCAGGCAGACAGTGTGAACGCAGTGGACGCAGGAGGCTGTGTGGTCTATCTCTTCACTCAGTGTGTTTTCCAGGCTCTTGTCCAGTGGAGGATGAGGAAAGTGGCCCTGGGGTGGAGCAGGACAGCACAAGAATTCATCACACTGCTGAGAAGAATGCGCAATTTAAATATTTACAGGCCACAGCTGACTGAAGGTGATGGAAAGAATAAAATGTGAAAACGGGGAAACAGGGTCACTATTATATATGAAATATTATATACAGCCATACCACCCTGAATGTGCCCGATCTCGTCTGATCTCAGAAGCTAAGCAGGGTTGGAACTGCCTAGTACTTGGATGGGAGACCGCCTGGGAATATCGGGTGCTGTAAGCTTTATGGAGTCCTGGTGTGGCGCTGTGGGCTAATGTATCGGATTGCAAAGTCCTTTGAACTGCAAGGTCGGTGGTACAAACTCACCAGTCACTCCTTGGAAACCCTACACAGGGTCGCTATGGGTCAGAATCGACTCGACGGCACTTAACACCAACAACAATTATATATGAGGGAGTCCTGGTGTGTCATTGCAGGATAATGTGCTGGGCTGCAAGGTCAGTGGTTCAAACCCACCAGCTGCTCCTCGGAAACCCTACACAGGGTCACTATGAGTCGGAACCGACTTGAAGGCACTTAACAACGACAACAGTTATATATGAGTAGAGTAGTGGTTACGAATCAGGCTGTGAACCGCAAGGTCAGCAGTTCGAAACTACCAGCTGTTCCACGGGAGAAAGATGAGGTTAAAGATTTACAGCCTCGGAAACCCTGTACAGGGTCACTATGGGTCGGGACTGACTCCACGGCACATAGCAACAACACCACCATTTTACAAACTACTCTCTAGAAGGGTCCCCCTTTGGCTCACAACTCGGACGAGGCCCTCTACCACTGGGACAGACAAAACCTGGGCTTGATACTGTTAGTACTTTATTGGATTATTACAACAGCCTCTGGCCAGTCTCCTGCTCACGTCTCAGACTAAGCCTCAGAGTTGCTCCTGACCCTGTAAAGGCAAATGTAACTTTCTAGCACGTTCATTTTCCAACCACAATGAAGCATTCGCTCATTATCCTCATGACTAGCTATGTGCTGACTACGGAAAGCTCACGCCAACCCAGCACCCAGCGTCTGCGGCCCTATGAAGTGAGCATCAGAGGCCCTGCTCCACGGCAGCCTCTCGCCTGAAGGAGCTCTCCTGGGTAGGCTGCACAACCGCTGAGGAGACCACAACTCACCAACTCCGAGTCTATCCTCAGCTGCGCTCACCTGGACAGGGCCTTGTTGCCTCGCGGCCATGGCGACATCACATTCCCGATGGCTGCCCGGTAGCAGTAGATTCCCAGCAGGCCGAGTGCCAGGGCCACCTTGGACAAGAGTGAGCACCTCCTCTGGACCAACAGGAAGACAGCCAGAAGCGAGAGGGCAGCCAGGACTGAGAGTGCAGCCTTGTGATCGGAGCTGGAAAGGAGCAGAAAGGACTGGTGAACACCAGGGCCAAAGAACAGACTAGAAATAGCTGCCTTTCTAGAAAACTCCCCCAAAGGACAGACAACTGCTGGCTAGACTCAAACAAAACAGGGTGTTTACTGGAATCGCCTTACTCATGGGTGGACCACCGAATCCCAGAGCAGACAGAAGTCTCAGCCCGGACACCCTCTGTCGGGACAGCTTTTGTTTCCAGTCTGAACCACAGTCCACTGTGCCAGGCGTTTCACGGACGCACCCGGTCGGACCCAGCCCCAGCCCCAGCAGACTAGCTGTTTACACTGCACACGCGGCACGGCTCGGTCTCCACACTCACTCACTGTCTACAGCTCACTGCTTCGCCCAGATGTGGATGCAGACACAGCAGCTCCCACAGGCGGGCCCACACCCTCACCCTCGGGAGCCGCTTCTTGTGTTGGGTACTGTGTCTGGGCCACGCATGTCGGCGGGAAGACCTTCACCCTCAGACCGCTGCCTCAGGGCCTTCCTGCCCAAATGGCACAAGAGGACTCTCCTCTCACCCCGCACCAGGCGGCGCGGCTCACCGGCTGACACCTGAGCATGTTGTCTTCAGGACGGCACCGCTGTGAGAATGTGCTGGGCCATAGCCAAGTGTCCTGTGCTGGGCGTTAGGGACAGAACCACCGGACAGAGTGTTCGACAACTTCTGATTATGTGGTTGGAGGTGGGCGACCAGGTGGGGCACCGCTCCCCCCAGACTCTGTCACGTGCTTTGTCATCTCTATCCTTCAGTACAGACCGCTCCTTGTGACTTCTGACCCTGACTGCTGATGGCAGTGGCTGTGAGGACCCTTAACCTCTCATCTCAGAGCTGCACCGCCGGACCACCACCATCCGTTACCTAGCTTCCGGTCACCCTCAGCTGGTATCAACCTCCTGACAAGACTCACTCTCTACCAGGATGTCAGCTCCCCAAACTTACTCCCGCTGACCTCCTGGCAGCCTTCCAGTTCCATGGCTGTCCCAGTGGCGTCTGTGACACTCCCTCACATTCCTGGAATTCACAGGCTCTGAGGTGAAGCAGCCCTGAGAAGGAGGGACTGGGCCATGGACAAGTAAACCACCACCTCCTCACACAGAGCTGAAGGTGTACCACGGTGTCATAGAGAGAC